AAACAAAAAGGAAGTTTATGAAAGAAATGAAAGTTGCTTTCAACTAAAATGCCTGGAGTTACTTTATTCCCTCCTTTTGACACAATTCGTTGGATCCCACTGGTAGACAATTTACCACAGCAACTGGAACTGTTACATAATGCACATTTTCCCTTTTTCACAGGCTGACAATTTCTTCAGATCGTAATGTGTGATGTGTTTTTGTCAAAACACAAGGATAAAGAACAACTGCTGTCTCTGCAGCTCAATTCTGCCTCTGTATTTTTCTCGCATATTTGGACATGTGAATATTTAATATCAGTGTCAACAGTAGGGAGAAATAGAACACAGCTGAAGAAAGTATTTCTTGAATATATTTTCACTGTATTTTCAACATTATGAAATGATGATGAATACAAACAGCAAGTAGCTATGAAGTAGCTACGACGGAGAAACAGCAAACATGAAAACTGTTCAGTCCTGCAACCCCTAAATTCAACATCATGTTTAGAAATTAAAATATTTTGTACTAAAACCCATTTTCAAACCCTTTCCTTTACAAAAAGCAGTTCGGTTTCTATATGAGACCATACTAAGGCAGTGAATCCACCAAGGACTGCCTGAAGATGAGACATTCCAGCACTGAGTCCAGGCCCAGATCTTGATTACACTGAGAAGCTGTGGGGTGACCTGACAGTGACCCAAAGTATATAACAAGAAATTCATCCAAACTTACCTGAAAATAAGGAGATGGAAAATACTGGGCAGAGACAAATCGAGATGCTGAGCATAACTTGAAACGAGGTTCACATCGAAGAACCTTTCAAACATCTTACAGCTAAAAGGAAAAGTTGGAGCTGGAAAACATAGTTTTTGTCTTTTGCGCAATTAAATCAGTATTGGACAGTGAAATGTGAACAATTCTTAAAAAACAACTTTGATATCCTAATTTTTTTATGACTATAACTAATTTAAACACTCAGTTCACTGCTGCAAAGCATTAACCACTTAAAAAAAATATTATGGTTAAAAAGTGAGATACTGCTAAAAAAAAAAACACACACAAAAAACACCCAGCTTTAAAAAAAAAACAGCAACCAAACAGGAAGGAAGGTGAGGATAAAATATCAGAAAATCCTCTCACTCAATCCACTGGTTTATCTCACAATGTGTTACGGGTATTTACGTCAACTGACTTCAATGTCCCAATTTCTTAACCGTACTGCGAAAAAAATAGATAAGTTTTACTTTCACCTGAGTTTGAACCTGTACTCCAGGTAGTGAAGGAGAACTGAAGATCTAATTCAAAGCATTTTAAGAGGAAGAAGAGCACCGAAGTCAGCAGGCAGGAGTCTATTGTGGCTCTGCACCACAAATAGAGAATTTTTTTATATCTATTTGAGATCCAGCAGTCCTGAAGGTTAACATTACTTAATAAACAGCTTCAGCTGAAAGCTCCTGATAATGACCAACTTTTATTCAAATTTACACAATGTTTTAGCCAAGACATTCAAATGGAAAGCCTTTCTACTAACGACAGCTTTCGATGTTACTTGGGTTTTTCATGTCCTTTTCACAGCTGTTGGAACATTGTTTTGGTCTCATGGCACTGTCGACAAATAAATATAAAAATAGCTTGATCTAAATATCACACTTATATTGGTGGTCTAAATCTCACCATCTAAAGGGAAATAGTCAACTGACAATTTACTGGTATTGTGAAGGCTACATTTCTCTTGGACTTATTTGTTTTGCATACGTATCTGGTGACTTCCATACGGGGGAAAATTTTTTTTTTTATTATTATTTATAACTGAGCAGCTGCACATTCCTGATAGTGCATAAAATGGAAATTTTGCACAGCTGGTATCTTCATACTTAGCAGGAAACATACAAGGTAGATTAGTAATGGCTAACGTTTCTTTCAGGGGAGACCCCCGCTGCTGCTGTGTAAGTTGATAGTGACCACATTGTCATGGCTTCCTAGCAAAGTCGAAGAAAACGTAACTGTCATAGTTATTAGTTTGAGTAAAAATGTTGGTTCTCAATCAGCTCTTTGGAAGAAATTGCAGAAATTACTCAAGCAGAGATGGTAATACACTGAAATATGATGATGCTGTTTCTCAAACCTCAATTTATAATTTAACTGAGGTACACAAATAATGACGAAAATGAATTTGATATTCTTCATAAACGGTGGGGGGTTGTGTGAGTTGGATTCTCAGAAGACTTGGCATCCATAGAAGTTTGATTGATGAATCAGTCTGACTTCAGTACTTCATCCATTATTAATTTTAATACATTTTTACAAATTTACAGCCAGTGTGTGAAAGTGTTACCTTCTTAAGCTGAGACAAAATACTGGAACACAACATTAAAAACTAAGTAGACAAAGGACAGGAAAATTTGCCAGCTAGCTATAGAAATCAGACTAAAAACACAGATTAGAAATATTTAGCTTCATATATGAAGCTAAGAGGAATTTATGAAGGTTTAAAATGTTTCTGTTTTTACTTAATGAGAGAACATGAATTTTGAGTGAACCTTAGCACGCCTACAGTAGCTCTATGCTAGCTGACTAACGTACAGTAAGTATTTGGTCAAAGCAAGCAATGCTGTGTTCCTACCTACTATTGCGGATGTAAATTCAACAAAAAACCGACACATTAAGTTGCAATGGTAATATAGTGTTACGACTGTTTCCACTCTCCTTTTCAATGCACAGTGGAATTTCAAATACATGAAATGGTGTATTTGATGCTGGCACTATTAAAATTGGCTAGTATAAGCATTTTTATTGGAGCTCTCTTTGGTCCACTGTATGAATATACAAACCCATTCATTAGAATATTGTCCAAATTGTCAGAATGTATTTTAGGGACTTTATTATTACATAAATACACATTGTTTAGATCAATTACAAGATGGATGCTTGAAATCATTTATTTCTGTTAATTGTGATATTTTTCGCATACAGTTAATGAAAACATGCTGTTTGTAATTGAAATATTACATCATAAAAATGAAAAACTACTGTCAAAAGCAGAAATCGGGGCTTGATGAAAAGTATTTAATAGCTGCCTTCTGGTTGTTGAAAATGTACTTTTAGTTTCAGGTTAATCATGAAGTATATGTCACTTTATTGAATATGATCAAAATAAGGTAACATTTTATTGCAAAACAAAAATCTCAATTTAAAAAAATAAATAAATAATGCATATTTAAATGTAAGAAAACTAAGAAAAAAAAACATGTGACCAAAATATCAGATGCCTCAAGTGGCAAGCCTAATAGTTTCAGTAAAAATAAATGTGACTTTTAATTTGTACTTTTTTATTTAATTATTGTCTAGAAACTTTTAATTAACCTGGAGTATAAAGTGTGAAACAGAGGTCCTTTTCTCTTTCCCAGTCTTTGAAATAGATAAGTTTACCTTGTATTAATCTAACCACTGTGAGGAGGATGGCAGGGGAAGTGAAAAAAAATCTCAAAAGCTCACTGTTGGAGAGCTGCAACAAAGAGTGGCATCCTGGGGAGTCCAAGCTTCTATAGCAAGCAGTAGACTTTATCTAGAAGCCAAAAGCCTTTCATGTTTTACATATAGTGTCGAGTACAGAGCTCAAAAGTACTTGTACCACTGGTAGAATTTGATTTTAAATGTTTTTTCATTCAACCTTGCGTTTTTAAAGAACAAAAACAATGTAAAAGAACAATTCTGAAATGAATGAACAAAATTATTATACCGCAAAAAAAATGTCTATGTATATTTAGACACTTCTAAATGACCATTGGACAAGAAAAATCTTTATTAGCTTTACAACAATCAAAGCTAATAAAGATCCGTCCAGGTGTTTCATGTTTCCACTGGTATTATGTCTGTTTATTTTTTAGAGGGGCCATTGCCATCACCCTAACTTTTACCTTCCTTCATAGATTTCCTATCAGATCCAAGTCTGGACTCTGGAAAAATATAAATCTTTTAAAGTGACCCAGCCAATCAGAAGAAATGTAAAATTAGTTGATTTCAACTTAAATCTACCAGCTGGATGATTCATTATAATCTATTTTACCCAGTTGAGACAACATTAAACTGTGGCCCGGGTTTAGTAGAAAAAATTATGACTGTGCTCTACATAGACTGTCATAAAAATCATATGGCTGGGCAATATGACCCTGGAATCAGTATAACTGAATATTTGGATTTATTGTGATGCACATTTATCATGCCACATTAAGTTCTTTTTTTATTGCTGTAATGTCCAATTTTCTTACATAGTCAAACTCTGACCCTCTTTTGAGGATGATGAAAGCAACAGATTTTTCCATTGTACGTATCATCTTACATTAAACTTGCTGGCTGTAGATTGGCTGCTTAGTTTGAAGAAACAGATAGTTGAACATTTCTGCAAAAACTAGTCATGAATTTTGATTTAAGAGGAACAAAACAAGGTAATGGACCATATTACGGCTAAACCAATGACCAGGTCATAAACCAATTTGCCAAATTCACAAAGATTATTTTGATTTTTGCATATTTTCAATCCAAGATAAAATGACCTTGCAATAAAAGGTCATTTATTTTAAGGCTTTTCATCCATGACCACCACTGGTCTCAATAAATCAATAAATAGAGGATAGTGCATTTCCCAGGTACTGAATGTTTAAGTAGCTCTGTGTTTTATATCATGGCCACTGTATTGAATTTAAGATTAATAAGGCAGGCCTTGACAACAGGGCTAACAGAACAACCAGCTGTGCCTTTAGTACACTTTGCTTATTAAGAGGCAGGGAGTCAAAACACACACTGAGATGCAGAGACGAGATGCCCGTCACCAGGGACACTTCTCCTATCCGTGTACTGTATAGAATATTATTTTGTAGTCCTTTTCAGTAGTTGGCTTACGTATCTCATAAATAGGTTTTTAAAAAATCTGCCTGTCAACTGGCAACACCAGTTTCTGTTTAAAAGAATACAAGTGTTTGTTTTCAAACCATCTGTCCATCACACAAAATAACTCGAGCGCAGTTGAACTGAATCTCACTTATTTTAAGTTGAATTAAATGTTGGTTTATACGGCCTTAGCAGACTTTTTTTTTATTAGTCTAACCTGAAGAGGGGGGAAAAAAGCACTTTGTGTTTTAAATGCTCCAGCTCTTAACACCTGGTAATTAAGTTTTATCACTTTTTAACTTTAAACATCTTAAAACAGATTGATACACTCCAAACCAAGACTACTTTGCAGTTTCAAATAAAAACAAGCAAATCGAGATAGGAGTTAATTAGTGTTTTTGTCGCCTTCTTTGATCTCCTTTCGCAGCACTTCTGTGAGTCCACATCCAACTGACTGAAGTTCATGCAGCACTGAATGTGTATTATTTTCCAGCAGGCAGTCGTCACACTGGACAAACGCAGCCTCTGCAGGAGGAGAATAATGAAGCACATTGTTTACTCCGAGAGGACTGAGCAGATCTGTCACAGCAGGTGAGACCCTTCCTATCCAGCTGGCGCTAATGAAGCCTGCAAGTGCTCTCTCTGGTTTCTCGTTTCAGCTGTCAGAGCAGGCTTTAGAGATTAAGTCACATAGAGATCCAGTTCTCATGCTGAAGAAAGCTTACGTAAGACAGAGAAGAAGCACTCATCCAACCATTCTACTCACAGGCTGTTTCAAATTTACAGGCTTTTATCGGAAAACCTTCAGAAGTGGACTCTGACTTGACAAGACTTGTTCTTGATGAGTTGCAATAAACTCACCAACTTCAAATGAAAGAATTTGGAGTTTGGAAGCTGAGCATATTCCTATTTTTTTTAAAACATCTAAGCTAAACAAACATTGTTTGACTCAGTAAATATTATTACCTTACGAGAGCAATCACTGGTTGTAACTTCCTTGCAGTGCTCCTCAATAATAGCTGTTCAATCCACAAATTCTCCCACCTGAGCAGTAGATCTCTGCAGCTCATCCAGCGTTCCCATTCACATCTTGCCTCCTTCTTTGATAAATGCTCTTCTTAACCTGCCTGTCAGATTAGGTTCATAGAAATGTCTTGAATTTGCAGTTGTGTACTTTTTTTGTGATGGATTTGAACAGAGTTTTGTGAGATTTTCAAAGCTTAGGATGTGATTTTAGAATTTAACTCTGTTCCTTGGTTGTCATGACCTGTCTTTTCTCTGCTTCTTCATCATCTCTGATGCAACGAGAGTATTTCTGTAGATGACAGGAGTTCATTTTGAACAGGACCACCTGGTCAGACACATGACCCTTAGCTTTAGATGACTTCTGATCACAAATAATTGTAGTTTTAATTAGCGATATTAAAATAAGTGGTACAAATGTGCTCTTTTTAGTTTATTTTTTAAATAGTTTGAATCATTATCCTTCCACTTCACAATGATGTATTACTATTTTAAAAATCCCACAGAAATATAATAAAAGATGTGGTAGTGTAGGATTTTGCAGCAGAGGACATGCAGTGCCTTGCAGGATTAGTGGGTAGAGTTTTTTAAAATAATGTTGCTTTTGGGTCTCCAGTTTTTCTAAAATTTAGTGAAATATGAGTTGTTGCTTTCTGACAACCTCTAAATAAAACTGTGTAAGGCTGTGCAACATTTTGTGACTATATCGTCATTTTATCAGTGTGCTATGAAACTGCTTTTTATATGGTAATGTATTATTTAGTCGGGTCGAGCTGCAAATGTTCACACCGCACACAAATGGCATAACACAAAATGCTAAAGGTTACAGAGTGATGAAAGCTCAGACGAGAGAGTAAAAAAAGAACATCTGCATACATGAATTTACTAATATTGTCACACGATTTGCAAATATCCTGGGGCCCTGAAACTGAGATTTTTAATAAATGAAGAACTTTCTTTTATGTTTAGTTTTCCTTCTCGATCTTCTGAATCAAATTGAATTGATCCTGCTTTAATAAGTAATATATGGCAGTGCTTATATTTATATAACACCTGAAAAGTAATTGAATCTGTTTTTAGTGTACTTAGCATCAAATTAAATTGTTTCACAAATTGTCCTAATATGCTGGAAATAACCAAGTTGATTACTGTGGATAAGGTTTTTTTGTTCATCAGCTTCTTGCTTCAACTCTGCAGCATGACTGTTCTCTGCACTCAGCTGCCTTGCATAATGCCATTGGATCCTGCTTTAATTTGTGTTTTATCAAGAACATCTTCTCACTCATGGGATCCATGTATCATATCGACTAATAGAGATGTTAATATGGGAAGCTCGGAATATAATATGACTTTCATCTACTGAAGGTTTAGATTAGTGACATTTCAGCGCCTGGGAAACTGGGATAATGTCTACAAAGGTTAACATATTTATATAGGCCTGGGTTCCAGCCCGAGCAAAATGAGTCCCAGTTTTGTCACTCTCATGGTTTTATCTGCTCCCAGTGAGGCCGAAAGGTGCTGGCTGAAATGAATCTTGGGTAAAGGCTCAATTAAAAAGGCGGGATCCCTCGGCAGGCTGCAGGCGCGCTGCCTCGTCTGAATAGAAAATGTCAGGAGGCGCTAAGGCACTGAGCGGTGACCGTCAACTCAGACTGACAGCATGTCATCTCTCCTCTTTCAGCTTCACCGAGCAGTGGCCCTCTCTCACCCTTCTAATACACAAACGCACACACAAGCACACATAACACACAGGCCACAACCATACCCTCATCTCCACATACTGTACATACCAAACACACACAAGCAAAGCCTCCCTCACTTTAGCTGTGAGGCTTTTACAAACTCTGGTGACTCAGTCATCGACTCAGACAAATATTAGCACATTTTCTCTTTTGCTCGCTCTCCTTTGCTGCTTTTGCACATGTCCGTGCAGCCAACCAGCATAAAAGCACACACACAATGAGCTGTGCAGTCAAACATTAACGGGTAGAAGTTTAGTATGAGGATTGTGGTTTGGTCAGAATTACAAAAAAATCTTCAGTGAATCCCATTAGTCTTCTGGACTGTGAACTTCAAGCTGGAAGAAAAGCATCAAAACTGCAGTTAGTGCTCAAACTAACGTCATTATCCTTGTGTTGTAACTGTCCTGCATACTAAAGCATTCAAACGGCCTTGGGAGATTTTTTGGAAGGGGGGTTTGGTAAGAAGTTGCACTTAATGCTTCCCTGGATGCAGTGCTGGAACAAACAGACGCTTTGTTAATAAGCTCATTCACAGAGGGGGTGCACTTAAACGGCTGACCCAAATGTGCCTGACTGAGGCTTTATTTGAAAGGGAGCAAAGTGGAGCTTGTGATGGAAAGTGATTTCCAGCACATGAATGCTGAAGGTTGTGGCACTGGACCACTTCTGTTCAAAGAGAATATGACCAACATGTTTCAGGCTGTTTACACTAGACTTTGAATTGGATCACTATTACAGGACCCCCAATTAAAATCCTGTAGCAGATCAGCAGGTGATTTGCTTAAGTTTTTGGACCTTTCAAACCAGTGAGCTCAATCCACAGTATTTTGCCCAAATATGCAAATTTTAAACAACAAAATTTATATAACTCAGAATCTTTGGGGAAATTATCCAATAAATCAGTCCTAATGTCTTGATGTGTGTAGAGAGAAGAAATTCAGGGTGAAATATCAGACGAGAACTATTTTCCTTGCTCAAGCACCTTTTCTAAACTTATAGTATGTTCATATGCATCTGGAAATATCAGTTGACCATTTAGAATCAGTTCAAATGGGCCTACTTTCGTAGAATGCTCTATTATGGAAATTATTTCAAATTATACTTAAATGATCACATAATGGTAAATGGCTTGCACTTGTGTAGCACTTTATCAAGTCTGAGGGCTCGAAAGCACTTTACACTACAATCAGTCGTTGACCCATTCATACACACATTCACACACAGATGGTGGTGAGCTACATTGTTTCTACAGCTGCCATCTGACCAGTAAGCCATGTGGGTTAAGTGTCTGACCCAGGTGGTGGTTGAAAGCAGCAACCTGCTGGTCACAGGACTAACCCCATCCTAGTGAGCCTGCGTTCTTTCCTCTAATGTTCTTTCCTCACTGTACCATCTAGTGTGCAAAGTGAAACAACAGTGAAACATCTACACGTTATACTCTCAATCTTCACAATTTGCATAAGATTCTTATGCTTGGAAGCTTCCCTCCTCTCAGTATCAACCAGCTTCTTCTTAAGGTGTTCTGTTTTTGTGCGTTTTCGTCAAACAGAGTCTGTCTCCTGAACGTTGTGACGGCTGGACATGCCCATGCTGTTAGAGCTTGCATTTAACTGTCTGAAGGGATTAACTTAGCAGCTCCAGCCATCTGAAAATTGTTGAAACAGTAACAATTCTCTACATTTCTCTTTTAGATATCTTGGCTGATTCCCTTTGATTATCTCATGTTGTCACACAAGGCAGCTATGTGTTTGAGATGTTTTCTTTAATTGCATCCTCATTTGTGCCTCTATTTAACTCAAATTGAGCTATTAACCTATTGAAACGACAAAATAGTTTTTATCAAGCATCTGTTTTCCACTATGTTTAGTTCATTTCTGTGTTTTCATGAAGACCGACTTTGTCTAAACTGTACCAATGAGCCAGATAGCACTAGGGACGTCTTAAATGATTCTGCTTTTTATTACCAGTAAAGGATACAGCAACCATTATGGACACTAATGGTACATCCTCTGTACTCATTATGAGACTCTGGGAGTTTTAACACTGTTGACTGTTTTACAGCCTTAACTTTGCCACTTTAAATTGTCCTAATTGGTTTTGTGAGTAAACAGTAAAAATGGGTTGTGATTAAATAACATTTATGTGCTCGTGCTGACTTTCTAAACTTCTCCAGGCCGTATTTTTTAATTCAAGAAAGAGAGAACGGTGAAATCCCACAAGAAACTGTATATTTATAGGGACTAAGAAGATTTTACTGACTCTCTTTATTAACTTTGGTATCGATTCTGTATATGCTGAGCTGGCCAAAAGTTCCTTCCAAAGGAAGTGCTTAACCGAGGCTGGACTCAATCTAGTTAAGTTTTGAGAGAGAGAGAAAAAAAACCAAGAATTTGTATGAAATAATCAACTGAATTTTCAGAGCATTGCTTGAATATAGATACAGATCATGGCCTAAATCTATTTTGTTTTGTTTCATTTAGTTTTTTACCCCAGCGAGTTGAGAGCTGTGAAATGCACATCCACTTCTGTTTTGTCAGTCATTTCCAGTTCAGGCCTATAATAGCTGGCATTCCTTCATGTGATCATGACCCATCCACAAAAGACGGATCGTCAATAATTGATACCTTTAGGCACAGCTAGAATTAAAATACTCACTGACACAGAAGGATGTGTTATCCAAATTTATAAATTTACAGTATAAATTTTTGATTTCCCTCTCTGAAATAGTGCAACATGTGTTAACCAGCTTGCACATGGATCCCTGCCAAGGTTGCCTCAAATCTCAGCTGAATAGTGCTGATTGGAAACTGGTTCACTGCTGCTGCGCTGATGTTTGTAAGCTTAAATGAAACACATAATTATTCTAATTTTAGAGTCAGAAAGACCACAGATTATTTTCTTTTTGTTGGTTAAAACATGCAGGTCAATCTCAGTAAATTAGGAGACATGTGAGATGTTCTTTTTTTAATTTAATCAAAGAAAGTGATACATGCTGTAGAGATTCGTTACAAATAAAATGGTAGACATATAATTCTGATGATATATTTTTCAAATAATAAAACGCAAAATTTTGTTTTTTAGAATATCAAAGTATTTCCTAAGTCCATCAAAAGGGATTTTGAATAAACGCGTGAAAAGTTAGCACATGATCTACAGTCCTATGGGCAGACAACAATTCTAAACCAGCACAGAAAATCGACATCAGTCTTTAACAACTTCTTTCTGTTTGCTGATGGGTCGGTTGAAATTGAACCAAATGAATCTGAATTTGAAAAATCCCAGGAGGAGCACGGAAGAAGATAAAAATTGAGTGTAATGACCAGGTTAAGTCAGACCTTTTTGATGTTATCTCTATGAAGGAGAAGCTTAGGAAAAGGAACGGCTTATCTGTACTTAGGAGTGCACTAATAAATCAGACCCAATTTCCTTAATTTTGGGAGATTGTGTGATACTTACATGAGAAACCGATCTTATCTCCTTTGCAGAGGTCTGAAAATCAACCACTTTCCACTGTGCATAAGAGACGCCCGACTCTCATCTACTCATGCACATTTAAAAACGGTCTCCCAAATTTAGTAACATTCTTGCTAAATTTAGTGACTTTTAAGATAAAAAAAAATTATCAGCAAAACTTTTTCCTTCCACTCGCCTTTCCTTTAATACACTTGATTGCAGCTTTCTGTGAAAATCCAGTGAAGCAATGTCCACTTGTGTCCCACTGTCCTTGTGAAGAGTATCAGTGAATGTCTTCTGGACTGCTGTACCGGGACCAGTGGTTACCATGATTTTTCACAAAATTGAACTATGCGTTTTCATGAGCTAAGCAATACGGAGCAAACTAATCCTCGAAATGTATCCATCAACACATACAATGTACATGTTTTCTATGACGCTCTTCTTTTTCAAGACATTTCTGTGTTCATGGTGTTCCTTCATTCTTAATTTACTCAATAACTTTTAGTTTTTTTATCATAAATATAATAGAAAATGTTTGGGGGGGTTTTCAGCTGAAAAATAGTTTTCAGATAAAAAGAAAAAAAAAGAAAACCCATGTGTACATCGGGACTTGAAATTATTTGCTCCAAAGACAGAGGAGGAGCTTTTGATATTCAGCTGATAATTTCACTGACCCACAATCCTGTTTGGTTTCCCAGCAACAGGCTGCCTGACTCTGTCCCCCAGGAGGGTGATTCGGTTTAGGAAGGAAAGAAACCAGGGGGAGGCCGACCCATGGGCAGCACACTGAGAGAAAGGGAGAAAGATGTTATCGCCTATCAAGCATGTCTATATGAGCCAACCAGCTGCTGCTGTTATTCCAACTTTATCAAGCGCAGGTGCTGCAGGATGTCTCCCGGTCACACACAAAGGAAATAAAAAAGAAAGCACAAGAAGATTTTCTGAGAAAACAGCAGAGATGTTGGCGAGGGGGGCTGCGCATGGCCTTCGGCAACAAGCGCAAACAGCCACAGCTCGATATTCTTTGTTTAAGAATTTTATAATAAGAAAAAAAAAAACTTTTTCATCCACAAGAAATTCTTCTTTACTCTCAAGACAATTTTCTAAGTAAATCGAACACCAGAATATAAATCTGAAAATACAGAAAGGTCGTCTGCTTCCTACATACTTGTGAACAACATGCCACCGCACCGCTAAATTCAGTCCCATGAGGACGGCGCAGCATCAGATCGATTGGATGAGTTCGTTTGTCCGGCTCTCATTGTGGGCGTCTCAACAGAAAAAGAAAGCCTGTCGTGTTACGGGGCTACGCACGCAGAGGGACACTCTTTTGGGTTGTGTCAGATTCACAAAAGCAGCAAGCAGTGATGGAACATAAGAAATGTCAAGTCTATTATTCACAACTTTTTCCCCAAACCAAATACTGAATATAGTTTAAACTTTAAATAGAGAAATGGAATAGATTTTTTCCTTTGTCTGTTTCCTCAATAGTTGTGATAGTAATCGCTCACTCTTGCTGCACTTCCATCTTGTACAATGCAGAAATCAGGTTGTATTGCAGCGTAATGAAGATTAGATGTTTTCAGCAGCTTGTCGACTCTTTTGTGATATCATGTTTTTTAAGCCTTTATACAAATGAGTAAGTAATCACAAACATCACAGGAATGATGCCAGTGTAAAATGGCCATTGTATCCCTTTTTTCTTCAGTCATTAATGTTTCCATTTTCTCCTCTTGCCAATTCCTTGGTGATGAATCATTGTTTATTTTTAATTATGTCTTTGTGTATTTCTGCACTGTCCACTGCTGTCAAAAATATTTGCCTCTTTACAGATTTCTTTTGGTGTTGTATTTTGTCACTTGTAAATGTTTTATATCATCACACAAACATTGATATCAAAAATTACGGGGAGTAAACACAAACAATAATGCAAAGACTGCTTCAGCTGTTCATATTAATGCATTTTAAGATGTATTTGTTGTTTGAACTTTTAATATGGATAATCTTTGGCTTTCTTATTCAGGAGTTCTGACCATTTACTGGCAGCTGGGTTCTGCAACCCCCGTGAATAACAGCACTCTTCTAATCAGAGATACTCAAATTGTCATAATCTGACCAGTCAGGGTGCTACAAAAAAATTTAAATAGAATACTTTTTTTTATATGACAAAGTATTTTATAATTTTTTTCTATGATTGTAAAAATTCATAATTGCAAAAAGGTTCCAAAATCGCCATTCAAATATGGATATGGTTATGAACTGATAGATGACAACAACGGGAAATAGAGCTGGACTTCTTGATAATGACATACAGACAAAGAGACCAATTCTGCAAAATATCCATGATATTTCTAAGAAGCTCAACAGAAGTTTCAGAAAAAGTTATTGAAATTAGCATTATGCTTATGTTGCATCACTATGGAGTCAGCGAAGAGAACTAGGAGGGAGATCCAGTAAGTAGGCAAGATGGTGCAAAGCAAATAAGGGCACGGATATACCATTAGCGACACTCCGGAGTTCCTATATATTATGCAACATTACATTGAGGGCTGTTTTAAGTTACTTATCAACTTAAAGAACATTTTCAGTTCATCAGTCAGCTGTGAACAGTTTGACATGTTGGAAAAAACTAAATGAGGTACAGCAACAGAGACTGTTGAATCATTGACCTTTCTAAAATCTGCAGGACAAGACAGAATATCATAAAAAATATCTGACATATGGTCAAGTGAGTTTGAATAGTTTCATAGTAAAATTAATCATCTTAAAAATTGCATTGTTTGTTGAATTAGTTTGTGGATCTGAAACGTTTAAGTGTGAGAGAAAAAAGACAGAAGAAATTTCTAGTTGTTGAATTGTCCCATCGGCTTCATTCCCTCTTGATCTGAACAATTCTGTCACATACAGAATATTCGTAATTAACTGCATGTTTGTTTAGTTTTTTTGTAAGAGTTATTTTTTTTTTTATTTGGCGTAATTGATGGGAGACGTCTTATAATTAAGCCTGCTAACATACTACAGCTGTGCAGAGTTAGAACTAATTTTAACAAACGATTTCCTGCAGCTGTTCTGTTAACCAGACTTCTCCTCAGGAACCTGGATGCCTCCTCTTAAGTTAGATTATCGCCAGTGCAAATATGAACAGATTACATTTGCTTGTATTTTACTTAAAAACTGTTTTCAGTTTTCCATTGAACAAAAAGTTATAAAACGCTTATTTATTTTAGTAATACAATCAAAAACATGAATAATTTTTGAAAATTATAAGTAATAAGTAAAAGAGTTTTTATATGGACATGTGTGGTTATATTGAAATTAATGACTGGATTTAGTGCTGATTAACCAGCTTCTTTAATACTGAACTTTTGGTTGTTACTGACTGTCAACAGTTTCTTCTCCATGACTGCATAGACTCTAACAACACTTTATGTATATTATTAAGTAGTATTCAGTGTTTTAAAACAAACTAAACTACAGTGTTCAACATTTGTAAATTAAATTTGTATTTAATCAGTTTGGAATCAGTAAAATAACACATAGGCTGAATTTTAAAGGCTTTCATTAAAGCAGGGTATCACACAAATGCCCAGAGAAACCTGCCTACTTATATTGCACCTCTACTTGATTGCACATGTTTTAGCTGTAACTTTCACAGAGTGTCTTTACAGTGTCGCCACAATCCCAATCAATATCAAGTCATTTTTCACACATTAAGACAACCTTAAAAAATTGATGGGGGCTGAATTCAAAGGAATCCACAAGCAGACATCTTTATTGATGTGTGCAACTTTTCAATTGTTGCATCTGCCCCTGAACAGGCATTGATTGTAAATTCACCCTCCAGACGACTGAGTATTGATCCCTCTTTGTGTCACCCAGATCTTCTGCCAACTACAAACCTGGCAAATGTCTCCCTTTCACCTAAGAGAAAACACCTTTTGTGTCCCGAGATAAAAAACACAGCAACACTAAAGGGAATGTTTTCACCCTTCAACCCATTCACCTCCCATTTTGTCTGTGGTTCAGCACTCTAATTGATTTTCCTAATAACACTCGCCAAAGCAAAAGGATGCTCTCCGTAAAACTCACCCTGACTTGTAGATTTACAAGGCATTAACATTCTGGAGAGAAATGGCCTGCTCCTTTTGAGAGGAAGAAAGAAAAACATTGTCAGGAAGCAATTGTCTGTAAATGAATTGCAGGGTCACCCACCAACAGTGAAATGTTAATGAGGAACAGTACTCCAGCTCAGAACGCAGGGGGGATTGAGCGGGTAAGGCTCGGGTGCTGCGCGCACCGCAGTAGTCGGATGCGTGCTATCCCTTCCCCTGCAGCTGAAACCAAACTAACAGAAACATGCGTCAGTGTGGTCACAGTTTGCGACTGTTTTCCTTCAGAGGCCGCTTCTCTAAGCAAGCTCACATGTCAGTAAAATAAACATTTATAGTAGCAAATTATACTTTCACTCTCATCTGAAGGCCAGTTCAGAAGATCTTTCACTGAAAAACCTAAAGAGGCATGTAGCTTTAGTTTATTATTTTTTTTTTTTTACACCTTAATTTTCAGACTTGAAAGTTGCAGAAGAATCATGTTACATTCAAGAAGAAGGGAACATTTAATAGGACACTGGCAAACAATGATGAAAGTAAAAATCAAAGTTACCAGCTTATTAATGACCATTGATTAGAAAACTTTGTCTTAAGGGTAGTAGCTTCAAAAGAAGAATACTGAACATAGTAGTGTTAAGAAGTTGTCCAATTTTAGTATCTACTAAATATTGTTTATTCAAATTTCTGCTGTCTGCCTATGACTTGGCAATTGAGTAGGTTTTGAGTTTGAGTCGGTTAGTAAGATTTCTAGTGTTTGTCTTTAGGCCTTAGTAATTATGTGATTAGTTTTTTTGTTTTAAATTTCTGAAATACTACCGACAAAATGGTGGCATGACCTTTCCTGTTTTTTCCACATCTTTTACTCCATGCCATTGTTTATTTTTAAGCAGTTATGAGGCAGAGTGGCAAAACCTGAAACCGCTGCTTTTGCTCAACAGATTGTTTCTAGATAACCAAAGAGTGAGAGAGTTATTTGATGCCACTCCCATCTGGCAGGTGAAGCCGTCCCTCTGCCTACATCTCCCAGATTGCTGTGCGGTTTTGGCTTGGAGTTCAGTGGATTTTCTATATTTTGAATATTCTACCAGATGAATAATCTATTGATACTGATCTTGTGGCTGTCGCAATATATATCATTTATTTATCATCCAACCCTATGTGAGCAAATAACTTTTGATCATTTAGCATGTAATTCAACACAAAAAAACTCTTATGAACGTCTGTAAAACAATCTGATAAAATTAAATATTTTACAGATAATTTTTAGAAGTACAAATATGCATTTATTTTCAATAACAATAAACGGTTTAAAACCCGTCAATGTATATTTTCTGACTCTATCGAGCATTTAGAGAGCATTTGTTGATTTACTGTATTTTCACCTCAATAGAATAGAAAAGAAATAGAATTATAATTTATAGTTCTAAATTATAATATTTTCCCTTTAAATGCAAGATGACTTTATGCAACAGGGTTCAAAAGTGAAATGTTCCTGTAGAAGACGCAAATCGACACTCTGGGGCATATAACCACAGCACTCACATGTTGGAGGGATGGGACACTGTGGGGGTTACAATCAGGTGGGGATCCCTCTGTGGAAATAAGACTTAGATTCGATCATTTGATATGTCTTCGGTGAAATTGCACTTGCCAACTCTACACGATATAAAGTTTTCATGCGGCAGTTGTTGATTCTGAAGGACAAATTCTCTAAAATGTCATGTCACATCTACCTCAAAGCGCAGTACAGGTAAGAAAGTGTCAGTGCGAGTCGTTTGATCTGCAGTTGACGGACACGTTTTAGGAGCAGCATGACCTTTCTGCAGGTTTTGCTGCTATCAGCAGTTTGTGGATGTTGTGCACAGCAAAGATGCACAAATTCA